AGGCGGAGGGGCAGGAGGAAAAGGTTGCCGACGCTGAGCCCCCTCCCCGCACCCCTTAGGCGGCGCCTGCAGCGCGCTCCGCGCTCTGGGGCAAGGGCGTGAGGAGGGGGGTGTCCAGCGCTGGCCCTACAGATCCGAGCGGACCTCCGAAGGTTGATGTTTATGCCCTGTTGCTGACCCTCCATGTGTCATCTGGGGCGTTCCAAAAATGCCGTGCCTTCGTGAATAGAAAGAGATGCTATCTTTTTCTCGGCGGAAGGCGGCGGAAGGTCCCGCGGAAGTAAAACGAGGCCGCCGCCTCAAGCTGAAGCCGGCGGAAGGCTGGCAAAAGGCGGCGGAAGTAAAAGATGCGTCCCAAAGAGATGAAATCGTTCTTTTGTTCAGGGTTGCCGACATTGCCCATTTAGTCGTCTCTCTGCAGGCTCTTCTCCGTGCTGCAAGCGGCGGCCCTCCCTGGGGACCTTGGGCTGTTCATCTCCGGCCTCTGGCGGGTTTGCTCACACAGACGGGGGCAAAGGGGTGGGCCCCAGCGAGGCCCCAGAAAAGCGCCTGGACCTCGCGCAGGAAGAAGCCCTGGGCCTCTGGAGGCTCGCCCCCGGCGGGAGCCCTGGGCCCTGGGGCCGTGCGGATTGATCGGAGACAGGGCGTCGCCTGTCTGGGGGTGCCCCCCGAGTGCCCGCGTGGCACGGGCCTGGGGGTCAGGCAGACGTCCGGCCCATGGACTGGAGCGGACGGGGTCGGAGGAGCGCGCCGAGAATCGCGCATCGACGATGTGGTGCAATCCAGAGTCCGAGTATCTCCAACCCGACTTCTCCGATGCATCACCGTTGCATCAGTGAAGCGGTGCTGTCCCCATAGGAACTGCACGGCCCTAGTTGGGAGGCTTCCGCGCAGGCAGGAGCGACTCAGAGTGCGGAAGAGGCGGGGTGAGTTATCCCGATATGCACCCTCGAGATTATCACACCACGTGGGCCCCTGGGGTTCTCGATCTCCCTCCCTGGGGGTTGTAGTTCTTGTTCGAGGCGCTGGTGGCACCAGGGCCCGAAAGCGGTTCCTGGGCGTCGAAGCTGAGGACAAGCACCCGGGCCTGGGGGGCAGGTGGAGCCTTGGGAGGGGCGAGGAGATGCTCGACAACAGAAGCGCCTGCCACGTGATCGGCGCCATGGCCCACTGTGTGCCCCGCGACTACGTCGTCATGGAGGCTCCGGGCCGCCCAGGGCCGGCCGCCGCGGCCCTCCCATCGGCCCCCTCGGGCCCCTCGGCCCTTCCCTGCCCTACAGTCGGGGCGCTGAAGAAGGAACCCTCTTCGTTGGGGAGGGGCTTGGTGTTCCTTGATTGTTTCGAAGTTTGCCTCGGGTTTTCCAGAGGTTTTCCAAAGGAAATCGAGGTTGAACTTATGGAAGAAAGGGGCCTCGTTCCTTATTTAGGGTTCCTTAGGTCAACGCCCCGACTGTAGCCTCCGTGTCCCGTCGAAGCAGCGCGGCAGACGTCGCCGCGCCGCTTGCTCCGGCGCACGGCCTCGCGTCTTGGGGAGGGCGCCGCGGCCACCAGGGCAGACGCCGCTTCGGGCGCGGTGGGCTCGCCGTGGGCTTGCCGCGGTGCCGGCTGTGTCTGCGTGGCCACGGGGCGCAGGGCTTGCCGTGGGTGTGCCGTGGTGTCGGCGTCGTCCACTTGGGCGCGTCGAGAACGAGTGGCGCGGCGACAGATCAGGATCACACTTGTCGAGATGTAGCCACCCTGGCTGTTGCAAGTTGAACCTTGTAGCGTCGGTTTGGGGAGAAAGGCGCGCTCGGATCCCATCGGGCTCTCGGCGGTGTCGGCTCAGCATCGGTAGCGCGAGTTGGTCAACTCCACGGTCTGCGCCGCCCAGGGGATGATGTGCAGGAACGCCACTGGCCATCCTCAAAGGCTTGGTGGTGGAGTACTTCGAGGTCATATGTCAGAACTGACGATTCCACGGCCCACCACACGCAAAGGATGAGAGTGGAGAGTTTCTGTGGACGTCTTCACCGTGGACACGGCTGCAGTGCCAGAGGAGACTCGCATGTCGGGCCCAGGGCAGTCCGGTCACGACGGCGGGTCACGATCTACGAGATTGAAGACTTCCTCACCGCTGAAGTGCTGGCGGGAAGGTGGGCTGATCTTGCGAGACTGACGATCTTCTTCACCCTTGGACGGGCTGGCGCAAGCGATGCCCGATGCGCAGATCTGGATCAGGAGGGAGGCGACTAGATTAATACAGGGCTAGGATCGGGATAAATCGCTCCAGAGCGTTCCGGAGCGCTCTCAGAGCGTTCCGGAACGCTCTGGAACGGCCGCGGCGCCCAATACATCCTCCAAACCTGCCGATTCTCAGAGATTTCGATTTATCCCGATCCGATTTTGTTCCGATCTTCGCGTCGTTTTAAGGCGACGAGATCGTCCGCGCCAGGTGGGATCTTCGTCCCCTCGAGGCGGGGCCAGACGCCACACCGGCGGACGCCCGGGGTACGGAGAGCGGTGGGTCGCCGAGAGTCTGCGCGGGAGGCGGCGTTCCTCGAGCGAGGCACGGGGCCGCGCCGTGCTGCGGGGCAGCAGGATTGGCGTCCTCGTGCTGCGATCGCATGACCTCCTCCTCCTCCTCCTCCTCCTCCTCCTCCTCCTCCTCCTCTCCTCTTCTCCTCCTCCTCCTCCTCCTCTTCCTCCGCCGCTTGCGGTTGCGCCCATACCTCAAGGGCGTAAGGAACGCCCCTGCCCTGGACTGCGAGTTGCTGCGCGCTAAACCTTCTGCTGGCTGACAGGGCAAGCCCTGCAAATCGCGCGCGTCGCGCGGCGTCCTGGCGGCTCTCTGGCCTTGGGGAGCTCCCAGGAGGTTCACGGACTACGCACCTGTAACCCAGGGCGGGGGCGTTTCTTCATCCCTCAAATACAGGCGTGCAACAGCACGTCCCCCAGTACCACCCCATCGAGCCAATCTGGCCGATCCAAGACAACTGAACGAGGCAGTGCCAGACGATACGGAGGCCGAGGCGCTGATGGAGACGGGCGAGAATGGGGCTCTGGTTGCAGATCACGTCGATATGCAGCCGTCGGACGACATGTTGCGAGAAGGCGTGGCGACGCGCGGGGTACCCAGGCAAGGGGATCGACAAGGCGGAAGAAGACAAGGACGGCCGTCAACGACAGCAAGCCGAGCAAGACAAACGGAGGCAACGAGTCGCCGCGCGAGCAAATGCGGCTACGAGCCCGCTGCTTCGACTGCAGGAAGTTAGAGGCCATTTCTGTTAGAACCGCCCTGATCCCTGGCAGCAGAGATCCCGGAAGGCGGATTCGGTTCTGAGCATGAGGTCCTGTGCCCCCCATGATGTGGCAACCGGTTTTGCTCGACGACCGCAGGGCGCGATCAATGCGCCTTGGACTACGACTGTGAGGTGCCGCGCTTCAAAGGCCTCGAGACGTTGGTTAGCGCTATACGTGACCAGCTTGCGCTGAACACGGCCGCTGGGCTGCGGCATCTGACAAGGTATCTGTGCGGAAGCTGCGGCCCGGATACGGGTGTCCAGTGTCCAATGAGAGGCGCGCGGTTTGCACAGTTTCAACGGAAATCCGTCTGCTTGCCAGCCAGCGTGATCTGCAAGTTGATGAAGCCTCACATGATTGGGGAATTTCTGCGAACGCGGGTTCAAGCCATTCTCGGATCTCCAGCGCATGGTGCCCATTGCTGGACAGTCCCTCGCCAGGTGATCGCGCCTCGGGCACAGGATTTCGTGAACCTCGGCGGTCTGTGGAGGCCACTCCCGCCGAGTCCAGTCCCCCGAATCGTATTGGAACCATCTCTCGGCGGTGGAGGGGCGGCTGCGGTGCAGAGTGCGAGGGGGACGCCCGGCCAGAGAGTCTGCACCGCCCGGCCGCGCTGGAGCACGGGCCGCCCAGCCCCTCGACGCGATGTGGAGCTACCCGCCCCCGTCGGCGCGTCGGAGGCCGCGTGGAGCTCGGCCGGCGCCGGTGGCCCAGAGTCGGCCAATGTGGAGCGATCTGCGCGAGCCGGCGCCCAGAACGAATGCCGCACTGCTCTTCGGGTACAGTCGGGGCGCTGCAGAAGGAACCCTTCTCGTTGGGGAGGGGCTCGGTGGTCCTCGAGTGTTTCACAGTTTGTCTGAGGTCATCCTCCAGCTTTCCATGGGAGGTAGAAGTTCAACGTATGGGAAAAAGGGGCCTCGTTCCTTATTTGGGTTCCTTGGTCAACGCGCCGACTGTAGAGGGGGCCTCAGAGAATTGCGGGCACCCTACCAGGCCACCTTTGGTATGACACGACGCCCTCCTCTTGCCCAGCGAACTGTTTGATGTATCAGCTTATTATGAGTTCTTGTACGGCTGTTGAAGTGATGGATTGGTGCGTTCCATCTGGCATTCGATTTGGAACAACATCCAGAACAATTCGGTCCGGGCTGTCCAACTAACAATCTGGATATCTGGCGGACCTGGTTTCAGATATGGGCAACGCTGGGATTGGGGGGGGAGAGCGTGAGAGCATCTACAACGCATTTTCCATCAGTGCTTGTCTTTGTCAAATTCGGTTTAGAGCTGCGTCACTGTAGGGGCAGGCATACATTTGAGACTGTCGCCCTCTCCTCGCCCCAGCCCCCCCTTGCGTGCCGCACATGTTCTGTGGCGCGGAGTGGCGGTGGAATGGGAGAGAATGTTAGTGCAGCAGTCAGATCTCGGCTTCGCCCTGGCTGCGCGCCCGAGGTGAGAGGGAACTTGTGCCCAGAAGATCGGAAGGCCAATTTGCAGAAGTTCAGCTCGGCCAAGTTCAAGAGGGTCGCCAGAGTGGCCATGGGCAAGCCTCCCAAGGACAGGTGGTGAGGTCGAGGACGACGAGCAGGAGCAGGAAGGGGAGCGGGAGAAGGAGCAGGTGTTGGATACGTATGTGGCAGAGGCAGAAGCAGCGTGTTTCCATATTCTCTGGGCCATCAGGCGCGTTATGCCCCCCTTCCCCCCTCCCCATAACGTAACGCTACCCCCCCCCCCGTAGTGCGTCTCCGGCACTACCATCCTGATGCTGATGCTCGCAGGTTATTGTGGTGCTTGCCAGCTACTTTAGCGTTCACGGCCTAGCGTGGCGTTGCGTTGACAGGCTCAGTTCCTGTGCTCGCAGACATGTTGCTGCGCTCGCAAGTTATTGTCGCACATGCAGGGCCCAGCAGTTGTTGCAGACGCGCGCGGGGTTCATTCGGGGCTCTGGTGCTGGCAGGGCCGCGAAAGTTGTGGTCGGAGCAGGAGAAGGAGTTGGATGGGGGAACGGGGTTTCCTCGAAATCTTCGTCGTGGTTGTCTTGTGGTCTTGGTGATCGTTGTTGTGTTTGCCGTAATTGTTGTCGTCGTCGCTGTCGTCGAAGTCGCCATGGTTGTCGTGCTCAGTTCGGTCGTAGCGAAAGTCATCGTCGGCATGTGGTCGTCGTTGTGACCGTCGTCGTGGCAGTCGGAGCCGTCGTAGTATTCGTCATCGTCGCGATCGTCGTCATAGTCGTCGTGATCGTCGTCACGGTCGTCATCGTGGTTGTCGTCGTGCGGTCGTCGGGATCGGAGTCGTGGTAGTCGTCATGATTGGCGTTGGATTCCTGAGTGTCGTCGTTGTCGTCGCCATCGTCGTCACGATCGTTGTAGTAGCTGTCAGCGTCGTAGTTGTAGATCGTGGGTTGCTGCATTCTTAAACCAATCTGCACGCTGTTGTGGACCCGGCTGCTGCGGTGCACGCAGGAGCTGTCCTGCACGCAAGCACTGTGGTGCACGCGTGCAGCACGCATCGGACACAGGCAGTGCGATACAGATGTGAGACAATGTTCGTGCTAGCCTTCGATTCTGGAGGTGGTAGAAGACGTGTACTGTAGCACCCTTTGCTGCGCGACGTAGATGCAACACAGCGGCAGCAGACACCAACACCAAGTCATGCTCGAAGGAGAGTGTGGAGGATGCAAGCACTGTGGTGCTGCACCATGGTGCACGCATGCGTTGCGCAATACATAGGCGTTGTGGTGCACCTGGCTTCGGCGGTGCATACAGTGCTGCGCGCTGTGGTGCTTGCTGTGATGCGCACAGGCGCTGTGGTGCCAAAGCCACACGGCGTGGGGCGGGGGCGTTACGTCATGCCCCCCCCCCGCCCCCCGCAGAATGCGCGTTCTGGCCGCGAATATGAAAACGCGCTCAAGGGGAATGCGGAGAGGGCGAGGGAGCAGGAGGAGGAGGAGGAAGAAGAAGAGGAGGAGGAGGAGGAGGAGGAGGAGGAGGAGGAGGAGAGAGGAGCAACAGGTGAAGAAAGCGAGAAGCTGGAGACGTGGATGGAAGATCATGAGAACGGAGAGGTGAGAAACGACCAGGAGGGAGCAGGGATAAGTTTGAGTAGGGGGCGAGGGAGATAACGCGAGGAGGCAGCAGCTGGGAGGTGGGGAGATGTAGGCGAGGACGAGGTGGAGACAGAAGAGAAGGAGGAGGAGGAGAGCGACGACGACTGAAGGCGAGGAGAGGCGGATGCACGCGTGCTTGAAGAGGCGGCAGGGTAACGGAGTGACGGAGGGACGCCGTGGTGGAGGGGCGGATGGCTCGACGGACGGTCCGGGAGACGGAGGAGCGGTGTTTCGAGGCTCGGATGGGGAGCGGGGTGGCTTGGGGGCAGTGAGGGTGCCCAGGCTTTCCAAAGGGGCCAGGCCAAGCGGATTGGGTCGGAGGGCCGCGAATCCGAGCCCGGCTCCTCCCATCCCAACGTCGCAGATGCATCACCGATGGATCGGCGACGCTGTGCGACTCTGAGACCCGGTTTGCCCTAGCCCCATTCGGGAGGTGTCCAGGGGTGTGAATAAGAAGTGTGGGGGAGGTGGCAGGAAGTTGGGGGGTCCGTGGATGCGAGAGGGGGCCAGACGGGGTGGAGGGCTGAGAGCTCTGATCTGCATCACAGGAGTACATCGCGAAGGTGCACAAGACCCTGCTCGAGCAGAAGCAGGCCAAGCTTGAGCTGGAGTGGAACAAGAGGAAGGCCGAGAAGGCGAAGCAGAAAGCCTTCAAGCTGAAGCAGAAGGAGATCGCAGAGAAGAAGAAAAAGGCAGAGGAGGATAAGAAAAAAAGGGAGGAGGAAGCCAAAGCCAAGAAGGAGGAGGGAGCCAAGGCCAAGAAGGCCGCTGAGGAGGCCAAGAAGGCTGCCGAGGAGGACAAGAAGGAGGGTGACAAGAAGGAGGAGGCGAAGGAGGGAGATACGAAGGTGGAGGAGTCCGAGACCAAGGAGGATGCCAAAGAGGAGCCAAAGACGGAGGAGGCCAAGGAGGAGCCAAAGGAGGAGCCCAAGGACGAGCCCAAGGAGGAGCCCAAGGAGGAGCCCAAGGTGGAGGAGGCGGAGGAGGAGGAGGAGGAGCCCGACGAGCCGATGCCCGTGGCCGAGCTCACCGAAGAGGAGAAGGCGATGTGCTTCAAGCCTGTCCTCGTAAGCGACCTGGCCCCCAGGGTGCTCTCCAGCTCGTTCGCCAAGTTTTCGATCCCCGATAAGAGCGAGGGCTTCGACGAGATCATCTTCGAGTGGGAGAAGGAGGCGGCGAGCGCGAGATACCTGAAGGACCGCGTACTGAAGTTGAAGACTACGTCCCGCATCGACGACCTCGTGCCCGGGGAGTGGTTCAAGACCACCTCGGGGGAATTCGAAAAGTTGCAGGCCGAGTGCGAAGAGAAGACGAAGACAGTGACGGCGGCCCAGAAGGACGGCGAGCCCCCCAGCCGATCGGCCCATCTGCAGTCAAATCCGGGGCTGCATGAGGGTTGGGGGAAGCGAGGAGAGGCAGCAGAGGATTTGCGCTTAGGGCATGTTCGTGCCATCTCGGCGCGGTTGCGACGACGGCGCCGGCGCCGGCCGAACGGCCACTTGGGTCCCGTTTCGAGGCCCGAGCGGCCCACAGAAGATACCTTACGGCGCGGAATTTGCACCGAAGATGAGGCCGACGGGTCGTCCACTGATAGCAGATACAGTACCCTTCAGTATTGAATGGCACACGCGGTGACAGCGACCCTAGCTCGCGTCTTCAGGGCAAGAACGTGCTGTACCGGAAATAGGTACGCACTGTACGTGAGGATACTGGCAAGTATGATTAATGATGCAGGCCGAGAGTTGCCGCCCCTTTCGCGGCGTCCACGTTGAAAGAATCGCAACGGCGGCGGCCCAGGATGACGTATTGCGATCATGCCACTGCAGCTCGCCGGAGCGATGGTGGGGCAGATACCGTGGAGAGTGGACTAGAAGGGGAGGGGGAGGGCTGGCGGGCAGCCAAGGCGGCAAGCCTGCTGGTAAGAGTTGAGTGGAGCAGGATGGAGGTGAGGGAGGACGGTTGGAGCAGAGTGAGAGGGAGAAGAAGCGGAGGAAAGCCGGGGGGGATGGGGAACGTGTGACGGGGAACTGGCGGGTTTGCGGATGGGGCAGGCAGTCACAGGATATGAGTCACGTGTTGCAGAGCGCGAGGGAGAAGGGGAGGCGGAAGAGTAGTGATTATGGACGGGGGAATGTCATCCGAGGGCTGGAAATTCATCCTCCTCCTCATCTTCATCCTGCCCCTTCGCCTCCTCCGCCTCCTCTTGTACGCTGGCTTGGGCAATCCTCATCCTGGTCCGTGCGGTATCCAGGGGCTGCTGTGTGAACCTCTGCGCTGTCTTCTATCAAGGGGCTGGTGCTCGCGCTTGTTGACGGTTTATGTAGGGGTAGTTCTGCGACTGCGACTCCCCCTCTCTCGTTCTCTCTTCTTCTCTCTCTCTCTCTCTGTCTCTTCCCTTCTCTTTCTCACTCCCTCCCTCTCCCACTGTATCCTTTTCTCGCACTCCCCCTCCCCCTCTCTCCCTAGCTCCCCCGTTCCATGTCTCTCCCTGTTTCTCTCATGTTACCTGTCTTTACCATTTTCTTGTTGTGTTCTCTCTCTTTCTCTCTCTCTCTCTCTCTTTCTCTGCATCGCTTCAAGATCGATTCGATGGAATCGTAGTCTCCCCATCCCTGTCTTGATCCTCCCCCTGTCTTCCTCTCCGTCCTCCTCCTCCCTCTCCCCTCCTCACCACCCCTCCTCCTCCTCCTCCTCATCATCATCATCCGCCTCCTCCTCCCCCATCTTTCTTCATCCATCCGTCTCACATATTTCTGCCTCTCCTCCTGCCACCCCCCAGGGCCCCCTGGCATCCAGAAGGCAGAAGCGACGCCAACCTCGTCGCAGGAGCAGCTTGCATGCATGTTCCCGCCTGCTTCTCATCGGCGGGCATTGAAGACAGGTAGTTGAATTATCGTCACATCCATCTCCTCTTTCTCCTGGGGCCTTGGGACCTGGAAGGACGACCCGCCCGCGGATATCATGGCTGTCGAGGACGTGCACAACGTTGGGGATGGGACGCCTCTCTACAAGCTCTTCGTCTTCGAGGACCGGGACCTGCAGGAGCAAGAGGATGTGGAGGAGGAGGAGGTGGAGGAGGAGAGAGGAGGAGGTGGAGGACCAGTGCAAACCCAAGACTCATCAACGATGTTGGAATCCACCCTCCCTCCGGGCTCCCTCTTCACAGGCTCCATACAGGATATCATGTCCAGTTAGGGAACTGTCCCCTTGGGAGACCCATTGGGAGGTCTTGAAGCGTGCCAAAACGAAACTTCAACGCCACGGATCAAAATGTCTGTTGCGTCTTGGCGACCCTGGATCGTGCCACAACGCCATTCCTAGGACTTCAACACCGCGAATCAACGTAACTTGCGCGCCCTGACAATCCTCATTCGTTCCAAAACCACCATTCCAGATACGTTAGCCATGGGAGCCCGTGACGTCTTTGCCATTTTCTAAGGCGACTGTGCGCGGTGCTAAGGCGAGAGCCACACTTTGAAAACGGACCGCATACAATCCGTTTTAGACGAATGTGCGCGGCGCTAAAGCGAGAGAAACATGTTGGAAGTATCCCGCACTCAGTCGGCGAAGCTCTTGCAAATGTTGAAAACGAATGTGCGCGCGCTAGGGCGAGAGCCACAACAAAACGGCCCGCCCTATATCCGTGAAACTTTTGCCAATCTCAAGTTTCAGGATCATAAATGGCAAGGAAGTCTCAGGCGGATCGCCCAGTCCGCCCTTTCGACCAGCCTCGGAGCGCGACAGGGAAGAAATTATGACAAGGGATTGAGGAGAGGAGGGCGGGGGCGAGCATGAGGATTAGGGGAGGGAGGGAAGGGAGGGGGAGGAGGGGTGAGGAGAAGAGGAGGGGCAGATGGGACTGGAGCGAAGAGGATGCAGGGACACAAGGCGCAGAGGCGCCAGCTAGTCGCCCGCCGGCGCTTTGAAGCACAGAGCCACGGCGCGCCCTCTGAGGCCCGCCTCCTGGACTTTCTGGACAAAACTTCAAGACTGAGCGCAGGTTTGGGGGCGTTCCCACGCCAAGATCCTCTGCCAGGCATCGTTGAGACCCATGGCGAGCCTCAGCACTGGGCCCTCAACAGAGGCCCTGGCCTCTGAGAGCAATTGGCCCTGCAAGGAGCGCAGCACATGAACGGTCAAAAGGGAATCCTGAAGGGTTAACAGGAGAGGGAAGCGGAAGAGGAGGGAGGAGGACGGAGGAAGGATGTATGGAGAGGGAGGAGAGGTGGAGGACGGATGTGAAGAGAGGAGAGAAGAGGGAGGACGTTCGAGGTAGGTGGGAGAGGTGGAACACAACATAATACACACATATATACACAGATAGCTAGTTATACGTACATGTGTAGATCCCTATCCCTATATGGTATTGTCATATACACGAGGAGGAGGAGGAGAGGAGGGAAGGAAAAGCAAACGATTGATGATGTGTTTAGGTGTGGGAGGGGAGAAGCGTGAGAGAGGTACGCGGCCGCACACCCGCAAGGGTCCCATTCCCCCAGGGGCAACACGCCAGCCCGCCCTGGCCCACCCCTGGGGCCACCACGACGCTGGCGACCAGGACAACCAGCACAGCCACCGAGGCAGCCGCTGCTAGGGATACCGCGCCCAACGGCAGCCCCTGCCCATCCCCCTCCCCCTCCCCTCCTCTTCCCTTGCCGGGCCGCTCCTGCCAGCCGGTCCCTGCCTGCGCCCTGCTTCCTCTCCCCCTCCTGCTGCTCGTGTTCCTCCGACCTCCCCTGACACTACGGCGCTGTGCCGGCCGCTGTTCTCTGGCATCATGGGCCCAGCTGCGCGATGAGAGCCGAGGAGTGACCTTTCTTGCCCCATCCCCGAGAGCGAGATAGAGGGAGAGAGAGACAGAGAGAGAGAGAGAAATAGAAGGACGCACACTGTTTACATGTGAATTCACATGTATATACACCGTGTGCGCAACTGTATTGGTACCCCCCCGGGGACCCCATCTTGACACATGCAAGCCCGAAGAGTTCCGTACAATCGATAAAAGCAAGAAAACACATAAACCAAACATAGAGAGAAGTTGATGCAATGGCAAAACACATAACTCCACGCACTTGAAAACAACCAAACACCCATGCAGTGGAAGACATGAACAATATAAACAGCGGAAACCAATATGGAACCCATACGCTTGAAACCGATGATGGAACATTCTACATTAAGACGGCAAGGAACTTCTCACACACACACACACATAAGTGGAAACCGCAACATATCCATATGATGGAAGCGATGAGGGGTTCAACGCAATGGACATATTCAGAAAGACGTGGGATGGAGCCACATAGAAGAAGCGGGTGTGCTGAACATATTCGTGGCCAGGAGGGGATGCGACGATTTGTGCCTCTTGGGGGAAAGCTGGGGGGCCTCGTGGGCTGTTGTGAAGGCTTGTGTGGCCGTCTAGAAGCCGTCTTGGGTCCTCTTGGAGCGCTCTTGGGCCATGTTGGAGGTATCTTGGGGCGCCTTGGGAGCCTTATTGGGCCAGCAGGGGATGATAATGCTGAGCAGCAGTAGTAGGATGTGGACGACGACGGCGCAGACAGGGAGTAGGACGTTGGATGAGAACAGAGAGGCCGAAGATAAGGAGGGCGGGGTGGTGATGAGAAGAGTGACGAGGGGGGGCAGAGGCAGAGGACGAGAGGAGGAGTGCGGCTGGGATCGCTACAGGTATATGTGTAGATCTACATGTATATATATGTATATATATATATATATACAGACGTATCCGCATTACTGGGAGATGGAAGACGTGGCAGGATTGGGAGGGAGGGTTGGAAGAGGAGGATCATGGCGACGACGACGAGCACGATTGTTGGAGCACCAGGAGGCACGATGAGGGAGGGTCAGCCCCGAGGACTGGGTCCTGCTCAAGCTCCGCTGCGAGCTGTTCCTCCTGGCGGTCTCGTACAAGAAGGACGCTGGCGATCTCTCGCTCCCATGCTCCCCCCCCGCGAGAGAGGAAGAGTATTGGGGGCGGCGGTAAGGGGTGCGAAAACCAAGAATATATGCTTTTAACTGTTTCTGACGCGTCTGGCACCCTTGAAGCTTCTGGAGGCTTCGAGGGGCTTCCAGTGACCTATCTAACTTGTTGTCCTTTCCCGATGGAGGAGGTGTGAGGGCCCGCTGGCAAAGTTCGAGCATCGACGATCCGGTTTTTGATGAGTCACTTCACGTTTCTCTGCTGCGCCTCTCGCCTCCTCCCTCCTCCTCATCCTATAATCCTGCTCCCACGCCTCCTCCCGAGGGAGACGAGGGGCGAGTGGGAGGGGCGAAGTTCGAGGATCGAGAATTTCTCTTGCTGTTGAGTTCTCAATTCTAAGGATAATTATGGCTGTTCCTCTCCTCCGGTTACCAACCATTGTATTTTCTGGGCCTCGCACTTTTTAAAAGGCAAAGCGACGGGTCACCAAACTGCGCTCCTGGGCCCCGGTTTACAACATCAACGGCTCTCGCCTGATACTTTCTCAATTGATTCCCAAGTCGCGTTCTCGCGCGGGACATCCTCACAATGTATACAGGAATCGCGTTCTCGCGTAGGACTTCCTCGCTATGTATTCAGACGCCGCGCCCTCGACATCCAGGATTCACGCTCTTGCTCTGGCCTTTCGCACGGGTTCTTTTTGGGAATCGCGTTTTCGCTCGAGCTCTCCTCGCGATTAATGCAGTACTCACGGTTCAGCAACACGCCTTCTCGACCTGGCCGCCTTCCCGACCTGTCTGTTAAGGGTCTACCCGTCCCATGGGCTCGTCTGGTTCTGCCACGTGTTTTCTGCTCCTAAACCCCTCCTGCCAATCCCGCGTTCAATCCTTCTCCCTCCCCCTTCCATCCGTCCTCTCTTCCCCTGTTTCAGGGGCTGCACCAATTACGCGCGGCAGGTACGGAAGGTATACCCCCAAGGGGGTACGATCGAAGACGAAGAGCGCGGGTACCGAGGGCTGGGGACCTCCGTGCTGAATGACACGCGAGCAGGTAAGAGCGAGCCGTCTTAAACTGAGTGTTGTTGTTGTGGTTGGCTTTCAGGTCTAAAAAACAATGTTCGTTGATCCCCCCGCCAGTAGCAACTTTATGTTTCAAATGATGTGACCCCCTTTCAGGGCTCGCACCCGCTTTTTCTCAGGGGAAGCTCTGTGTCACCAAACTGTTTCGGGCCCCCTTCCGCCTGAGACTTCTTCACAATGTAGTTCACAATCGCGCTCTCGCGCGGGCCCCCCTCACAATGTATGCATGAATCACGCTCTCGCGTGGGACTTCTTCGCGATGTATTCAGACGCCGCTCCCTCGACATCCAGGATTCACGCTCTCGCTCTGGCTTTTTGTTCTCACGATGTACTTGGGAATCGCGCTTTCGCTCGAGCTCTCCTCGCGATTTACTCACGGTTCAGCAACACGCCTTCTCGACCTGGCCGCTTGGGCCTGCCTTCCCGACCCACCCGTCAGGGTCTACCCGTCCCATGGGCCCGTCTGGTTCCGCAACGGGCTTTCTGCTCCTAGCCCCTTTCTGCTAATCCCGTGCTCCATCCTTCTCCCTCCCCCTTCCATCCGTCCCCTCATCCCCTGTTTCAGGGGCTGCGCCAATTACGCGCGGCAGGTATGGAAGATATACCTCTCAGGGGGTACGATCGACGACGAAGAGGGTGGGTACCGAGGTTTGGGTTACGTGTTGCATGTCACGCGAGCAGGTAGGAGCGACTAGCCTTCAAATTAGTGTCGTTGTTGTTGTTGGTGTTGGTGTTCTGGTTGTTGGTGCTGTTGTGATTACTGCTGCTGCAGTTGCTGTTGCTGTTGCTGGTGTGGCTGCTGTAGTTGAGCTCTCAGCACCGAAGGATACTCATCTTTGATCCCCCCTCGGGGGCACAGTGCGCTTTTCAATTGAAGCCCCCTTCCCCGGGGCTCGCACCCCGCTCCCTGCACAGTGGAACGTGAGGGGGGCACCAAACTGGGCCCCCGGCCCCCCGGTTTACAACAACAACGGCTCCCGCCTTATACTTCCTCACAGTGTATTCCCAAATCGCGCTCTCGCGTGGGACTTCCTTGCAATACATGCAGGGATCGCGCTCTCGCGTGAGGCTTCCCCGCTATGCATTCAGACGCCGCGCCCGTGACACAAAGGAATCACGTTCTCGCGTTGGCTTATCTCACGCTTTACGTGGGAATGGCGCTTTCGCTAGAGATTTCCTCGCGATTGATGCAGGACGCACGCTTCAGTAACCCACCTGCTCGACCTAGCCGCCTGGCCCCGCCTTCCCGACCCGCCTGTGAAGGGTCTGCCCGCCCGATCTGCCCGTCTGGTTTTGCCACGTGTTTTCTGCTCCTAGCCCCCTCCTGATACTCTCTCTCTATCTCTCTCTCTCTCTCGTGCTCCATTCTCCTCTCTCCTCCTTGTCCCTTTTGTCCATCCGTCCTTCCCCTGCCGTAGGGGCTGCATGAAATACACATTGCAGGTGCGAAAGATACACCCCAAAGGGGGTACGATAGAAAACAAAGAGGGCGGGTATCGAGATTGGGGTAAACGTATCGGATGGCACGCGAGCAGATCAGAGCGAACAGTATTAATGTGATTGGTGTTTTTGTTGTTGTTGTTGGTGGTGGTGTCGTTGTTGGTGTTGGTTGTGGCTGTTGTTATGGCTGTTGTTGTTGAACATGATGTCGGTGTTGTTGCTGTTGTTGTTGTTGCTGCTGCTGCTGCCGTTGTTTGAGCGCTTCGCTTCGTGGGTGTTTCCGGAGGCCTCCAGGGGCCGATGTAGGCCCCCGAGCCCAGGACTCCCAGAGGCCTTGGCGACCGTCGGTAACGCGCGAGGAAGAGGGACGGGAGGGAAGGAGGACGGGAAGGAAAGGAGGGATGAAGGATTTCATGAGGGCCCAGGGGCTCTGAGGGTCCCTACGGGGTCCCCCTCCTCCGCCACCTCCTCCCTCCCTCCCCCGCTCCCTCCGCACCACTCCGCCCCCCTTCTCCTCCCACCTCCTCCTGCTCCTCCTTGTCCTTTTGCACCGCCGCGATGCCCATATACGACGAAGGTCCACGCAGGGCAGCACAAGGAGAGAGAGAGAGATTAGAGTGAGAGGGAGAGGCGAGGCGCGGGCTGGCGGTCGGCCCTTGCCCCCGTGAGCGTCCCGCAACTCCGTCGCACTCGTGGTCAGGGACCGCCATGGCCGAACGAAGGGGGGACCCTTTGGCCACGGCGGCGTCCCGGCCCGGACTCCCCCACTGTCCTCCCCCCTTCCTCATCCCCCTCGTCGCCCCGCTGCTCCCTCTTCCCTCGTGCCGCCTTTTGCTCCTCCCTCCTTCCCTCCATGGGCTCGTGCGAGTGCGCGCTTCCCTCCAGCCCGGGGGGGGGGGGGGGCGCGGTGGGCGAAGGGGAGGGGCGGGAAGAGGAGGACGAGAAGGGACTAATGGCAGGGGTGGTTGGGGGGTGGTCTTGATGTGTCTCGTCACCGCGGCTGGTCCCGCCATTGAAGTTGGGCTGCGATCCAAATTTTCTCCCGCGTCGCCTTTTCTTTTCTTCCTCGCCATTTCCTCATCATCGTTGCCGCCATCATCGTCAGTACCCACACATTTCTGAATCGACATCACCATTCTGGGGCCCAATATGGACCTCACCCTACGGTCTCAGCGGGCGTGACCGCACGGAGTCCCCGAGCTTATTTCGGCACATCCTTCACACGTCTTATCAAGAAGCTCCAATTACGGTCTCAGTGGGCGCGACCGCACAGCGTCCCCGAACCCATCCCGCCTCATACGTTGCGGGCCCATTCTGGAGTTCAACATCAGATTTTATTGGGCGCATGGCGTTCCCGAGCTTAGCACCTCAAGGTTTTTCATAGCCCCTCAGGGATCCCCACCTACGGCCTCAGCTGGTGCGACAGCATGGCGTCCCCAAGCCCTTTTCAGCACACTGCGTACACGATTTCTGCGTTCCAGGGGGTTCCACGTACTGTTTCAGATGGCGCGACCGCATGGCGTCCCCGAGCTCGTTTCGGCATACCCTCTCAAGTTTCGTGCCCGTTGGAGAGCTCCATGTACGGTCTCAGTGGGCGCCACGGCGTGGTGTTCCCGAGCACATGTCGAAACACACCTCACACGATTCGTGCCATTTAGGGGTCCCACTTACGGCCCCAGTGTGCATTTTCGCATGCGTCCTCCCGCTCTGCTCGTCACACCCCTCACGCGTTTCGTGGCCCTGTTGGGAACTCTACCTGCAGGCCCCAGTGGCAGGGCCCGCATGGCGCCACCTAGCCCATGTCCGCACATCTATCACACGCGCTGTGGCCCCATGAGGAGAAGGAGGAGGAGGAGGAGGAGGAGGAGGAGGAGGAGGAGGAGGAGGAGGAGGGGGGGGGAGCGGGATCGGGCTCGTGGAGTTCTGGTGCTGGCTCGAAGCCCTCGCGAATGAGCGCGGGCCCACAGCTTGCTTTGAAGGGCCGCGGCCTCGGGAGCATGGGGCCTCGATTTTTGTTTGCACAGGGGGTCGCGCCATCGGGAGAGCGGATCCCATGTCCGTTCTCTGGGCGATCGCGGCCCCAGGAGGTCGGACAGTCTCTTCTGAGTCAGCTTCTGCACAGTCGGCCCCGACATCAGCAGCTCGCCTGGTTTTACAATCTGGATCGTGTCCTCGAATGCGCTGATCCATCGTGACCCCATAGCCCGAGCATCTATTTTGATTGTGTGCCCCCGGGTTTGCCGGAGGACGTGGCTCGGGTGTGCTGACCTGCTGCTCTCGGGCCGAGCGGGGTCGCGTGCGTTCTTAGAAACATAATACCAAGCTTCCTGAGCAATCTGTGTTTCGAGAACTCTTAGAAGCTTTTCACAATGTGCGTAGCTTCTAAGCCGATCGGAACTTTGCGAACTGGCTCAGTGCACTGGTGAAGACTTACCTGTTCAGCGGAATCTTCGCAGCCTGGGGGCCTCCGCAAGAGAGACCAGCGGGCACACTCACCTCCCCTCTTCCTGCTTTCTGTCTGAACAGGACGTCGACGACCCTGAGCGCCCAGGGATCCACGAGGATAACCTCGCTTTCTACTACGGCAAGTACTTCAAGAAGGGCCTGGTGCCAAAGCACTACGGGAAGGACACGCTGGTCGACCTGCTGACCATGATCAAGGACGTGGCGCTCGGGGCGACCAGGAGGAGGGAGGTAATGGAGGATGACGATTAATAAATGGCCGGCGGTCGTGTTCACGCGGCGGCGCCCGGGATGACGATTAGAAGAAACCGGCCGCGGGCTGGAAAACTATTTCTTTTCATCGTTCTCCTCCAGTCAGAAAGTTGTGCAGACATAACAGGAACTATTTTTTAATCGGTCCCCCCCATTTTTTCATGAATCGTCACCCCGCATTACGCGACTCCAGAAGGAGGGGGAGGATGAGGAGGAGAGGAGGGAGGTGGCCGAAGTCACCCCACCCTGCTGGCCTGCACACACCACCCACCCGGCCCGCTCTGCGGCCCGCCGGCGCGCCCCGCGGCCGAGCCCCTTCGACGGGGCCGCGCGTGCGGAAGCCCAACGCTATCCGGGCGTCTTGCCGTGCCGCTCTGGGTACGGCGCGCCCCGCCGCACCTTGGGGCCCTGCCGCGGCACGGCGTTGCGGGTCGCAGGGGCCTCTGGATGGGCCCGGGACGAGGGAGCAGGAGGAGGAGGAGGGGGGACGAGAGGATGGAAGGGGGGAAGAGGTAAAGAGGGATGAGGGGCAGGAGGGTGGATGAGGATAGTGAGCGATGCTTGCGTAGGAGGGCGGGGGGGGCGCATGGTGGGGTGGGGGGGGGCAAGCCAGGTGCGCGTCGCCATCTCTTACCTCCGCCCCCTCCCACCCATCCCTTCTCGTTGCGCTGGTTTTTTTTTTTCTGTATCCGCCGACGAGTGGCATCGCGAACCTGGAACACCAAATATGGCCCCATCGTGTCATTCGCAATCGGAACCAATGAGTTGCGTACGTAGGAGGAGGAGGGGGAGGATGAGGAGGAGGAGGAGGATGAGGAGGAGGAGGAGGAGGAAGAGGAGGAGGAGGTGGCGGATGCACAGGATGAGGAGGAGGAGGAGGAGGAGGAGGAGGAGGTGGCGGATGCACAGGAGGAGGAACAGGAGGAGCAGGATTATGAGGAAGGACGTGAGTGAGGTCGAGCAGCAGCAGGAGCAGGAACTGTAGTGGGATCAGGGATCAGGCCGAGGCGCAACATCCGATTCGGATGAGGGCTGGCTGGCAAGGGGAAAAGGTGGCAGGGCCTCGGCAGTCCGCCAAACAAGGCCCCTCCACACTGGGGCCTCGATGGGGGCACGGGCGCCGCAGCGGCGGCACGTCAAACATTTGTCTGTGGCCTGCACGCAATGGCCCCGATACTCCAAAGATTCCAGAGCCTGCACGCGCAGGCCATCACAAGTGAGCCCCAGCTCGCGACAGGCGTTCAAGACATCATCGCTACGCGCCCTAGGGAGGAGGCCATTGTGACGCTCGGCTCCAACAGCTGCGAGATACAAGTGGAGCGGCGTGGGCTCACACTTCTTGCCAGGCTGCTCAAGTTTTGCTCGGGAGAGCGAAGTCTTGTCTGAGCAGTGGCACCACGTACACCTCCCCCCCCCACCCTCCGCCACCTCCAGGTCGTGAGAAGGGAGGGGGAGCTGAGGCACCGCCAAGGGGTTACGGCAGGGCCTCGCAGACATGGACGAGGAATCAGCCTGAGACGCGACAAATAGAGCGACTTGACCCAGGCATCGGCACGTCTTTTTCCCGTCCTTCAAATGCGCTTTAAAGTGGCGGTGGCGACGTTAGCAACGGCATGCTGCTTCGCACCCAGCTTAGCAAAGAAATCGGCCCACATGTTGCCCATATAATCAAACACCGAAGTGCCCACGGTTCGATCTAGGCTCGAAGCGCTCTGGCCAAACAAGAGGGAGTCGAGGTCTCCGTGGGCTGGGGTCCAGCGGACTCGGGGCCTCTCACTGGGCGGAGCTCCTGCTGGACACAACTGAAACAACTCTCGCCAGATGCACGCATGCTTGTGACAACCTGTAGCCAGCTCGGCAGACCAGCTCGATGCCTCTTGCACCGCAGATAGGTGATCACTGATACTATCAAGTCGTCTCGGGCCGAGGCGGACCGCCTGCAGCAACGCATGCCTTTCGGCCCCGGGGACGGTCTGGATGGCCCCTGGAAGGGGCCCAAAACACGCCCCCAGGACTGAGCTCGACCACGGACCACCTGCAGCGGCAAGCTTCGGGTGGACCGTTCGGAAGCCCAGAACCGTCGGTAAAAAAGTTGAACGCCCCACGGCATGTTCGTGGCAACCCCAGAACTGGGGAGAATACTTGGCTGGGGCAGGAGCAATGCTGAGGGGGAGGAGGGGAACGCCATGCGCCAACTCCAGAGTGCCGAAGTCGGGGGGGATACCTTCCGCTATGTCCCGCAGCCAATTCAAATGTTCAATCACGTCTTCTGGAAACAGGGCTGCCCCAGCTGGGTCATCACTGGGTTCCCAGACTCGTATGCATTCATACCACTGGCGACCGAAAGTGCCAAGCGCATCGCAACCGAATTCGCACTTGGCCGGCTACGTAGCCATGCTGATTCTTCTTGGCTGGCGGCCACAGTTTCCCGCTGATCAGGCCTCTCAGGGCCGCTTGCCTAGGAGGGTCCTTAACAGCCAATATCCCGAATCTGAGCGCGCGCCCCCAGACAGGCTCATCACCGCAAGCCTGGGGAATCGCCTCCAAAATCAGCCGCACTTGGGCACGACTGATGCCCTCGCGCAGACGCTGCTTGACATCCCAAGGGCAAGCGGCGAACAGAGAAATAACATCACCCCAATGTGATGGTGAGTAATGGTGAGTAATGTGAGAAGCGGCGTCCTGAGTTGATGGCGAGTAGTTAAATCCCACCCAACTCACCGCAACGATAAAATGACCGCCCCTATAGTTCCCTGAACGCGATCCCAGCGAGGGCGACCGCGCAAACGAGCTCGAGCCGCCGAGCAGGCAACTCGCAGGTCAGAGTCGGGCGCTTTCCAGTCCCAGACCCAGCAGCAATATCTGAACACTAGCGGGGTCGTAGCATCGACTACGGGGTCAGAGCTTGGATCCGTGTGGGCATGCAAGAAACCAGTGACGTGAGAAACACCACCCGCCCCCATAAGGCTCCCAGCTGAGGCCCCGAGCGTTCTGGACGTGGCATTTGTCACTCCTGATGCCGAGGCCCCGTGGCCTCCGGTGGGCATGGGGCCTGTGCGCCACAAGCCAGCAACTTTGGTGCCCGCAGACTTCTTACGCACCTGGATACGGCGCTTCCTCCTAACCAGCGCAAATCGTCTCTTGGCTGCCACCTTTCGGAGAGCACGCCGTCCAAACAAATCTTGACCAAGGTTTCGCGTGTGATCGTGTCCTCGCAGTCCCATCAACTTGGCCGACATTGCCGCGTGCCTGGAAGCGGCCAAGCTGGTGGCTACAACCCCCGACTTATTGGGTTGCACAAGATCTGGACTGGAAATCTTTCAATCGCAAATTTAAATGGTTGCAGCAGCACTGCCATCATAATAGAGGTAGCCGCCGAGCGTCCAGCTAACATCCCATGGAAAAAAACGAATGGCCCCGAAAGCGAGCCGAAAGCATCAAATCTCCGAGGGGCAATATAGGTCTGGATGACCATCCAATCAAAGCGGAGCGGGAAACCGACCTGACTAAAATTTGCAACCAGGCCGAGATTTTACCATTTCGTATGATTTAATCATGTCTGGCAGGAGGGCTACCGAGTGCCAGCCTCTAGCTCTGGCTACCTCGGCCGAAAGGTCCAAATCGAACGCAGAGTCCGACGCACTTCTACCCTTCGCAAACCCCCAGAACTCCCGAGTACGACTCCCCGCCTCCCACTCATCAGTAACAGAACGCCGAATGCGTCCCCAGACTCGCAGAATCGCGTCTAGAATAGCGATAAGCCTGTGGCCGCCGTCGGGTTTTGGCAGCCTGACAAGCCTGCTCACCAAGCGCTTGCTTGGCCAGACGAGTGCCCTTTCACACTGCGTAAGTAGCGACGCAAGCGCGGCTGGCCTCGCATCAGACAGGTACTGGAGCGCACCAGGATGGATCTTACAACAGCCGACCGCCGTCTTCGGGGGAAAATCGCGCAATCGCTCCCCTCAAATCGTCGACCCCGAGCGGCGGCAGGCTCGCCCAATCCTTCGAATAGCTTCGCAACTCAAAATCGTCGCAAAAATGAGCGGTCCAAATATGGGACCATTCGCGGCGCGTATCGTCGGCAAGCTCGCACGGTTGGATCCGATGCTCCTCGGTGAGCACCTCTTGGATTCCACGGTCCCCGGTAGAACGATGGGCAGCTTTGGCCCCGTCCAGGGGCGCCTCCCTGACCCGGGACTTCAGGCGTCTTTTTTGTTGGCCAAAAACACGGCCTCCTTTTCCTGGGCCGGGGGTATTATTCGCTTAAACAAATCGGGCGTAGACGGATCACCTATCACATCCACTCCAGACCTGAAAAACTTTGCCGTCAGCACGTCGAGGTGGGCGAACACCCAGCCGAGCCTCTGGGATCCTGCCGGGGAAGGCCTCGGTGTCGATCAGAACCTTGGCAACGCGCTTCAATCTTCTCGGCTGCTCGTCCAAGTCCGCGTCAAGGTTGGGAATGTGCGACTCCAGCACGGTGCGCGCGCTACGCAGATGCCTGGCCCACCTGGCCGCTGCGCTCCACGCTGCGCACTCGCAAGAGGGTCGAGGCTGTCGGTGCTGTGGGGCACGGAGCTTCTTCCAACGAAACTGGCGCTCTCCAGCCCTGCCTTCGTAGCTGCGGCGACGGGGTCCAACAACAACATGTCGGTCCAGAAGCTCAGCCTCGATACCCTGAATCGTTATGTCCCAGAAACCTGCCAACTGATCAGCTGTCGTGGCATGTTGAATATCGCCACGAAATTGATTCCAATCACGTGGACACCGCCCACAACCTGGTTTGGCCAGTGCAGGAAGAGCTTTTGGTTGATCAGCAACTCGGCACCACAACACTGTGTCTTTGGCGTGAACTTGCATCAGCACGGGCCTACGTGGCCAGATCGTCCCCATGTCCACCACATAAATCGTTTCAGAACGGATGGCGAACCCCTCAGACATGATGA